TTCTGAGTAGCTTGAGTAGCTGCAGTTCCGAGTAGGCCCTTCCGTTTGCAGACTTAGCCTGCAGCCCTAGGTGCAGCAACAGCTTCGAGCACAGTCGTCTAGGCCATAGCTATAGCATAATATGCATGCAGTGCTACACAGCTTCGAAAGAATAAGCAACAACAACTTTTAAGGCAAGAAGCACCCTTAGGCCGGACTCTGAAGCGACAAGCACCGCCGCCGAAAAAAAACCTTTGCAGCCTTGTAGGACTCTTTTCTCCAGGGTATGTCTGTGTGCATGTTTTGTTCGAAAGCATGCATTGAAACTGCACGTCTGCAGACCTTTAGGTTCAAAGAAACAGCTGCTGCAGCAGTCGCCTGTGCAGTTTGGGATAGAAGCCGCCAGCTACATGTATCTATAGGCTCGGAAAAACCGAGGAAAGCCATGACCAAACGTTTGAGAGGCTGGAAGATGGACCAGGAGCTTGGAAAAGCTCAAAGAAAGAATAACGATGAATTGCCGGAGTTCGCCAAAGAAGCCTTGGAAAAGGACGAAGTAACCTCCAGCTTGGCCGCCAAGCTCCTCGCATTGTGGGCTCACGGGAAGCTCAGTGCGACCATGATTCGGGAGCTTGCTTCCTTGGCGGTGGTGGACGGTGCAAAGCACCCAGACCTTTTGGAGATTGCTCAGGCAGGCAACTGGGGCGAGCAGCCAGGCAACATTCACAAGCAGCTGATGCGAAGGTTTGTAAGGAATGTTGGCCTGGACGAAGCCTGCAAAGTAAAAATACGATGCCTTGACAACAAAGCCTGCTTGGGAAAGGACGAGGCATCCTTGGAAAAGGACCCCGAGAAACTATCCGTGGAAAAGGATGAGGAGGCACAGGTCTTCCTGCCACACCTGGTCTTTGCGAACTTGGGCGCCAACTACCCCGAGTTCTTCAAGAAAACCTTTAACTGCGACAGCTTGGGAAAGTTTTGGAAGCAGGTGGAAAAAAAGCGGGGATAGCAAGCTAACTGCCCATCCCATGACCTTGGAAAAGGATTGGAGGGAGAAGACAGTGCCTTTGTTTTTACATGGCGATGGGGTGGAATTTCAAAGTAGAGACAGTCTGCTCACTTTCTCCTTCGGGGCTTTGGGTTGTGGCTTGAGCTCCCTGGAAACGAACCTGTACCTGGCATCGTTTCCCAAAAGCTGCACCGCTCCACGAACATGGGAGCCCATTGGGAAGGTGCTCAAGTGGAGCTTTGAAAGCCTTGGGAAAGGCTTCCACCCAGAAACAGATTACAACGGGCTGCCCTTGGAAAAAGGCAGCCCGTTGTACGAAAACAGGGGAAAACCCCTGCACCCAGATGGCTGGAAAGCCTATATCTGGGCCATCATAGGGGATCACGACTTCTTCGCCAACCATTTGAAGCTTGGCCATTGGGCCTCCCACTTCCCGTGCTGGGAATGTGATGCAGAGAACTGGAAAGGCTGCTGTTTGGAAAAACACTACAAGCAGATTAGCTTGGAAAAGCAAACCTTTCGAGTTTGGACACCTGCAGAGCATGCAGGTCACCCTGTATCCAACCATGCGCTTTTTCAGCTGCCCGGGGTCACAGCAGCCAACGTGAGGGGCGACCCCTTGCACATTCTCTTCACCAAGGGCTTGTACGGTCACCTCATAGGCGGCATTTTGCATTATGCTTGCTACTATGAGGGGCCCGGTGTGGTTGCCAAGAAGAAGCCTTGGGAAAGGCTGGCACTCATCTTCTCGCAAGTGCAAGCAGAGTACTCCGAGAATAAAGTTGCCTGCAGGCTGACAAACTTGAAGCTCAGCATGCTGTGCGACCCCAAAAATCCTTGGAAAAGGAGTGCAGATCTGGATTGCAAAGGAGGAGAGGCGAAGCATTTGTTGCCTTGCCTTGTGCCAGTCCTCAAGAGAATGTTTAGCTTGGAAAAGCCTCACGAGCAGAAAATGATCTCTGCAGCCAACTGCTTGGAAAAGCTGGTGGCTTTGTGGGACGAGGCAGGGCCAGTGCTCACAGACCAGGAGTTTTCCCGGTCTCTGAACCTTGGAAAAGGTTTCTTGGATGATTATTCGTGGCTGCATGACTGGTCCTTGGAAAAGGGGCGGAATTCCTTTGCAGTCGTGGCGAAGCACCACACTTTCATTCATCTGCTCTGGAATTCCAAATTCCTCAACCCCAGAATGCAGTGGTGCTTCAAATCCGAGGACTTCGTCGGACAACTGAGCCGCCTGGCCCACTCGATAAGCATGGGTGTCGCGAGCTCGAGGCTGTCGCTTAAAGTTGCGAACAAGTATCGAGTGTTGCTTCACCTTTTGATCCGCAGTGAGCGATTCCTTCTCACAAGCCAGAGCATCTGGGAAGACTGATGCGACTCTTACACACATTGGCAGACTCTTGGAAAAGATCTGCTGGCTTAGCGGCTTATAGCTCGGTAGGCAGCTGACTGTACTGGACGTTTTCGCAGCACGTGGTTCTCAAAACATATCAATATATTTTTAACTATATTGATTCGCATATTGATTTGTATATTGATGTGCATATTGATTTGTAGATTGATCTGTATATTGATTTTTACATATTGATCATGGATGGTCAAAGAATCAATATGACATATTGATTTCGCGAACCATCAAAATCAAGATATTGATTGTAATCAATATGGGATGCTCAGGGTTATGTACAAGAACGCCCTGTCCTCGAAAACAGTCGGCGACCACTGCCCTAACCTGGTCGAGAGCTGCCGGCAATAGCGCCAGCTGACCTGATCTAGGGGCCTGCGAACTTGGAGGCAAAGCCGAAGTCCTATGTGCCACTGCCTGTGATGCTCGGGAGGGGTTCGCCAGGGCGGCCTCCTGGACATAACGATAAATAGCTGCACTTCCCCATCGGCCCAGCAACATGATGACATGTAGGTCGAGGTCGGCCCGTGCGAACAGTTGCGCACCAGCGACGCGGAAGGCGTGTTGGGCCCACCGCTGCAGAACCTGCCGAGGTCGAGGCCATTCATGGAGGTCGCCTGAGCACAGGACCCATGCGAACACGCGGGCGAGCCACACAACCTGTGCTTTGGTTGGTTCGCCGAAGAAGGGTGACTTCGCGCTCCAGCGACCCTGCTTGCGAAGTCGGATCGAACATCGCAATGCTGCGTGATATGCACACAATGGGTTCCTGCCCAGGGAACAGTCACACTGCTGCAAAGGCGTGAAGAGAAGGGCCTCGTCTCCACTGCGACCACAACCTGGGTCGTGTGTCCGCGAACAGATACAGGCGTGCGAACGGTGGCAACCTCTGGCCGTGGGGTCTGTCTTCGAGATCGGGAGATGGAGCCTAACGAGCCCTTCGCGAGAAAAGCTAACGTCCTCGCACTAAGACAGACGAGAGCTCAAGTCCCCGAAGGAGGAACCATGCGGCCACAATACCTGTGTCTGCGGGGTATTCGATTCTGGAAGCCCCCGGCACCTGGAGGCGTATGTAGGCTGCCTCGATGTCTCTGTCGAACTTTCTGGAGCACGCTTCCAACGGGAAGTCCAGTTTAGCTGCCGAGGGTCCCATACCCCGTGTGATCGACCGCACTGCTTGAGCGACTGCGTGATCAAGGGCCGGCGACCAGTCGTGCCCCTGCGACCGGTGTTCACCTTTTGCCACACTGTAGTACTGGGCTGCAGAACCGGTACCTTGCTTGCTTCAAGAGGGCGCCGACCTTATCGATGAGCTCGACCGTAACCGGTAGGGGGGGCAGGTTCCGCTGCTCTGCGAGGGAGCACCAAAGTTTCCAGCGAGATTCCCTGGGACCGGACCTCTGGAGGTTTTTGCGAACTTATCTTCTTGAAACGCAGCGTCGGCCTCGGCCAATGCACTCTCCGACTGCACCGAGGCGGCCGCACTGCGCGACCCTCGTTGGTACGGGTGCACCACTGGGGCGTCCGCCCTGGACCGAGCGCGAACCACTGACCGGTTGAAAAGCTTGTCGACTGCCGGATCTCCGATCCACTGCCGTAGCTGCGTCTTGGGGGTGTTCTCCAGATCCGAGGCGGACTTAACGCCGTGTGCTCTAAGAGGCTCGAGAGCAGAATGAAGGTCCAAAGACCCCAGCACATGAACAAGGCTCGCGAACGAGGTTCTCTCATGTGGGCACGTGATATGAAACATGACTGCTCGAGAAGAGACTGCGGAAAGGGGAAGGGTTTGTATGCTCGAACGACCCCCCTCCCGAACCTACAAGAAGACAGGTCGACCGGGCGAGGGGTGACCGAGACTGCGACGCGAACGAGAAGGGGAGGGGGGGGGAGCCCGGGCGGGGATCTTCAACTAACTGCCTGCGACCTGGAGCGACCTTCCAGCGCACTCTGCAACACATGTACACAGGCAGGCGGAAGTGCAGGACCTAAACCTGGCATGACCTTCCAGTCAACAAGGCAACTGCCAGCAGAGACCTGCCTGGACCTGGCACGACCTTCCGGTTGTAAGACCTAAACCTAGCGCGACCTGCCCGAACTAGAGAACTTACCGCACCTGCTCATGTGCCGACACTCTGAAACATGCGAAAACGAGTGAGGAGAGCGACTCTTGACTTTTTTGCTGCGAGCAGCCCCGGTGACCCCGTAGGGTTAGCGGCCCGTAGGCGCGAACTATTGTACTTGCTGCAAAAACGCCCCGAACACCAGTAAGACACTTGCAACGCGAACCGGAGACTGCAACAGACTGTAGAGACCTAAGTGCTTCTGCGACCTAAGTGCACACACTCTGGGGCAGCGGCAGCGTGCGACCAAGCGACCTCAGGTACGCCTGGAGTCGAGACGCTTAGCGTTCTCGTGGCACTGCGAACACATGTGGTGCTCGTGCGGCTTCCTGTAACCCGCACGGTTCACACGTGGGCATGCCCTAAGCCAGCAACTCGGGCAGCGAACACAACAGACCGAAGTAACGTCGGTGTATGGAGGGGGTTCTTCTCTGAACACCACCCCCGTCTCCACATCCGCCTGGAGGAGCGAACTGCGTGGCCAGGATCGGGCCAGGAGGGCCGAACGAGAGAGCGGCCTCGAGGTTTGGAGGGTCCACGGCTGGCCTCGGTCCCGAACGGCGGCCCCTCTGTGTCTGCGACCCATTCGGGAACGTAGAGGTAGGCGGCGGAGCGTCCTGACTCCCATGTGGCTGCGGCCTTACTGTAGTCGTGGCCTCAGTCGTACCTGCCGCCAAGGCTGCGACCCTGAGGCTGGACCCCCACTGCTCTCTGCGACCTGCTGCGACGGTGTACTCGCCGTGGTCGTAGTGGCCCCCGTCGTAGCGACCTGCGGCATGGCCTTAGTCGGGGGAGTCTGCACCGGAGGAGGTCGAGGCGGGTCGGCCAGGTCGTCGTCAAGGGTGTTGAGGTCGACCACAGGGACCTCCGCGACCCGGGTTGCCGCGCTCGCTGCCTGCATCATGGCGATCGCGTCCTCGGCTGTCGCGGGCTGTATGTCGCCTGCGAACATCTGCTGGACCTGTGCGGGCGTCGCCTTCACTGCGACCTGCTTGGCTTTGGCCGGCGGAGAAGCTGGCTGTGCCCGACCACCACGACCTTTGCCCTTCTTGCTCACGGGCACGGGGTCAACCTTAGCCGTCACGACCAGTGGCGGTGGGTCCGCCTTCACGAAGGCCTTAGCCGCTGAGGACATCTGCTTCGGGACGACCAGCTGTGGTGGAGGTCCTGTCGTCGGGTCCTTAGACGGCGGCGCACCTGCCTTCTTAGCTGTAGCCACCGGGGCGACCACAGTAGTCGGAGCAGTCGCACCACCGTCCACACCACTAGCTGCCTTCGGAGCGACCACTGCGGCTGTCGTCGTCTTCGGGTCAGGCGCCGCACCAGCCGAGGATCTAGCTGTAGCTGCAGTCGAACTGTGTGTCCCAGCGTCAGGGCGACCCGCTACTGGAGTTGCGGCCACGGTGGCAGCAGCTGCGGCCACGGCGTCGCCTTCATCGAGGCTGTGCTCCACTTGCTCGTCTATGGCGAGCTGCACCACTCTCCGCAGGCGAACCAGGTCATCGAGGTCAAACCTCTGCATAAGAGGACGCCTTTCCTCGTCGGTCGAGTGGACGACCGTGAAGAGTGCGGCCCACAAGTCCACCTGCGACCTGTCAGTGGAGTCGCCCCACGAGCCAGCCATGGCACGGTGCTTTCGAAAAAGCGAAAAAGCTCTAACGCTCGCACTTTCCTCGGGCCTTCGCTGCGCGGGCTGCGAACGTTATGCTCGGAAAGTTCTCGCTACGCTTGTCACTACGAACACACGTGTTCTGCACGACAAAGCCAGGCAGTGACTCTCAAACATTGGCTGATCGGAAAAAATGCATACCCACGACTGACATGATTACGCAGTTACGCATGAGACACCGCAACGAGGGAGGGAGCGTTTACAGAAATGCATAATACAGCATGCTTTGCAGCAGCAAGCACTACCTTTGGGCATGTCCTTGCTGTGAACACCCGTGATTTCTACGGTGGGGCTGCCGCACACCTGTAGAATAGAAGGAGCCACAAGGTTTCTTCCATTCATCTACTTGTCAAGAAGGCATTTGTGAATGGTAGGATGCTTGCTAGCCTTTATGCCAGGATTTCATCTTGCCGAAGCGGTGGTTTTGACAACACGGACTCGGCTCGTGGAATGCACGAAGACCTTACCGCGCCTGTCCATGCTGCCCATCTCGGCCACGTGCTCGATCAAGGCCTGCAAGCAGCTTAAACACATATGCTAGCGGCGATCTCTATTAACAAGCGGGGCAGTCGGCACGACGCGGTGGACTGACTACGGGCCTCCTGACTTCTGGTCTGGCGAGAAAGTTGACACCATTTCAGCAGATCTGTCACCTTTAGTGCGTTTCACTGCACAAAAATGCACCGAGGATGACAAACAACCCCAACAAGATCTTGTCGGCATCGCTGCCGCTGGCCACTTCGCAACCAAGCTTCGCTGAGGTATGGCAACATGTCTGGCCTTAGGGCTTTTTGTCAGAGACGGTGCAGAGGATCTGTTCAAATCCCGGCAAGCAAGTGAAAAGCAGTGCCAGCAGGCCGATGATCATAGACCGAGGTGCAGAAGGAGGTCGTAGGGAGCACACTCCCCATCTCCCTCGGAACGCACTCAGAACTCACTGTCGAAAGTTCGCTGGGAGGTCTTGAGCTTTAAACTTGGACTGGGTTGCTCCATCCTCTCTTGGCAGCCAGTGTCGCTACGCAGCTCACTCCGTCACTAAGCACCCAGCTTTTGCGAAACACGTCGTCGCTGAGGTCTCCTGCAAGGAACTGCGGACCTGGGTTCATCTTGCCCGACTCCATTTGAAGCATCACCCTCATGCAGGTGTGTGGCCATGGGCTTGTGGCAAGGGGCAGCGCAGTCCACAAAGTCCGTCTGGCAAGATGCGTCAACCCGATCATCTCGCGGACCGCAATCCTGCGACGAATCTCGTGATCTTGTGGACCTCGCTGAGCACTGCTTGCATGATGAGCGAACGCATGATGAGCGAACAGCGACGACAACGACAGGTACGATGTCTACCATGTCAAGGCAGGTCGCTGAGACCGGTCGTCAGAGCTGATCTCGATGCTTCTCGGCAACTCAAGCAGAGAAGGTCCGCTTGGGGTCTCTGGGTCGTCTATAGTCGTGAGATTGAGATTCACCTTGTCAACGGACCACCACACAGTCTTCAAGAATCCGCGCATGTCCAGACAAGGCAGCACATGAGATGCCACTCTCGTATAGTTCATCACAAGAGGTGGGGTTGCCCTAGGACCCGTTGGACCGTTATGCGTCAGGTTACACGTGCATATCAAGACATTGCAGTTGCTTGCAAAACTCAATCTGGAGGCACCTCGGCCGCTGCGAAGGTATGGCTGCAAGCTGCGCGGTTCTCACCAAGCTGATGCTCCTCGTCACTGCCACCCTGGGAGGACAGCTGACACAGATTTTTCCGCTTTTCCGAAAACCCCCTCGGAACCCGCCTCTGGAATAAAGACCCACTCTCCGTCTTCGGGGTCTTCATTGCAAGGCGGCCACTGCTCGGGGGGCAAGCAAGTGCTGCGACCACCGTCGGTGCCGTCGTCACTGTCACAGGCGCTCTCCTTGCTGTTGGTGCTGCCACAAACGGCGCTCTCGTCGCAGCTGGAGCTTTCGTTACTGTGTGTGCTGCCACGGCTGGAGCTCTCGTTGTTGTCGAGGCTGCCGAAGGAGCTGCCGTACTCCGGATAGGACACAACGCCCGAGCTAGGCTGTTCTTCCGACCTGGGCGCGTCGACTTCTGTAAGCTTGGGCTGCGGGTGAAACCATATCTCAGCTTCCCCGACCTTTCGTTGCTCAAAACACCAGTGATCAAAACGTGCAACCCGCAGTCCGAGGGAAAACAACTGCTGTCAATTCGCAACGGTGTCCTGAGTCTCCCCGTGAAACGCATCGAGTGCGCCCCCAAAGCGCAAGCAAGGCAGGACAAGAACAGTTGTTTGCACAGCGAAGCTAGCCAGAACCGCAAGCACCCTCCTATCTTCCAAAAAGGTGGCAGCACTGCAGCAAAAGGAGTCTCCTTGACTTGCACACTGCTCCTTTTCGGCAAGCTAGATGACTGCAGCAACTTGCAGATTGCCTCTTGTTGGCACCTGCCGTGAGCTCAACACCCTGAAAAGCCATGGACTGGATACGGACTTGCTGATTTTGACCAAACCTCCAAGGTACAGTTTTTGTCTGCCATTCGAGCAGTGAGGCCGGTTCGCCCTGTAAAGGCTCGTTCTCTGGCAACTTCCACATTTCATGCATGGAGAGGTCCATGTCTCCATCGACCCCTATCTATCTTTTGGTGGATTTGGGGTTCAGCGTTGCCCTGTACACTACAGTTGTGCGCGCCGATTCGGTGTGAAGTCCGACATGACCACTGGAAAAGCCACCACCCTGGCTCTCTCTCTCTCTCTCTCTCTCTGTCTGCTTTTGGCAAGGCAGCCCCTGCACGACGTCGAGCACTGGTCTGTGCTCTTTGCCTGCTTGCTTGCTTGCCTGCGTGCTTGCTTGCTTGCATGGCTGTGTGTGTTCTCACTCACTCTCTCTCTCTCTCTCTCTCTCTCTCACTCACTCACTCTCTCTCTCTCTCTCTCTCGCTCTCTCTCTCTCTCTCTCTCTCTCTTTCTCTCTCTAGTGCACGTACTTGTCGGTCTTCCTTTAATCTCGCATCCGGCTCGTATCTAACGTGGCATCACACCTGCAACCGAGGCACGTGTCTTGCCAATGGCATGGCTGGATGAGCCAACTGGTGAGCTCCTCCAGCTGCTGGTTGGCGCTACAAAGCCTCCGATTTGGTCATCCAACCCCCCGGGACCAGCCACCAGAGCTAAAGCTGGACACAGCCGGGTCACTCCCACGTGAGTTTGTTGGTGTGCAGCATCATGAACGTCAGGTTGTAGTGAAGTGTGCAATTGGCTGCGGTCATTGCCTGCAGCTGCATCTCCATATCAAGCCGCCTTGGATGCTTCCAGCACCTACAAAACACGAAAAGCAGCGCACCCCATCCCGGAGGCTGGGATTGCTCAGGGCCCTGCTGACGTCTTTCCTCGTAGAACCTAAACAAGGCGCGTGCCGATTGCAAGAGCTGCGCCTTGCGACTGGATCCCATTACCCTGATGGCGCCTGCCCTCCAGCCTTGCTATGAATTTAACGACATCGTTCATGTCGCTGCAACCGATCACATACTGGGCATCATCGAGCTTGTGCCTCAACGGTGTCATTGAGAGACCGTTGGGATGCATAGCACGGAATATGCAACTGGTAACCATCAACATGTGTGCAGACAAGCTGCTTCGCTGAGGAACCGTGGAGGTGCCTGAGACACGGAAACTCGCGCAGCTGTTGCAGTGGCACAGCGGACTGCTGCACCTTGGCACGCTCTGGTTTGAAAGCTTGGGGCCGGGCTCCAACACATGGAGAAAGTCATCCAAGGTATTTCGCGATCTGGCTTGAAAGCAGGCACTTGCCAGTCCGCTTCCACAAGTCACATGGGGAAGAGTGTGGGAAGCGCACTCGTTGCTCAGACTATGCCGCCCCTTTTGTGCAGCCGCGATGCCTCTCTGAATGAGCCTTGCTACCATCCTTCCAACAGAACAAGAGGTGTTTCCAAGAAAGCCAACCTATATAGATTCAGCTGTCCTCTGGATCGGATGCATCGAGCTCATCACTTGAACGACTGTTCGTGCGCCTCAGCGACGAATGAATGGAACAACACGGCACAGAAGCGAGGGGCCCGGAGACACCGAGGATGCAAGAACTCCCCATGCCCCCCTTGCACCAAGGCACAACAGTTGCCCTCCGCTCGGAAGCATTTTGGAATGGTTCCGCCGCTGCTGCTTACGACGACGCATGGCTGCTGGGAGGAGCCTCGCTGGCTCACTAAACCCGACGAAGTGATTTGCAAACAAACTTTTTATCAGTGCCACGCTGCACTCTGTTCCAATCCAACGTGTACAAGGCACAAGGCCTAAGGATTCACACCCTAGTGGCGAAGAAAAGACTGGAATGTTGCTGGATAAAAAGCGTCGTTATACTGTTATTCTGCACAACAACCAAAGGCAGGCTCGTGTAGAAGCTTACCCTGCAAGCCGATAACGACATGCGAACACACATGAATGACCACTGAAAATTTTCGCACCCGCTTCGGAGTGCACATGCATGTGACATGGCTGCAACACCCGCGCAGGCTCTGCACAAATGCTTCGCGCACCACAAATCCATCAACCGAAACGAAGGACATCGCCACGACTTGAGTCACGACTGCTTCGCACAGCCTCTCGAGAAACTGCTGCTTTTGCGTGCTCCATGTCGAGACTCAAGGCGCCAAGCAAAAGGTGATAGCATCCGGACTCATCAAGGTCATCTGACTTGCGGTGGTCAATTACTTCTACACACTCCAAGAACCGCAAACTCAACGTAAATTGCAATTTGCATTACTTTGCGAGTTTCTCCTTTCAAGCCTTACCTAATCGCTGCAAGGCTGCAGTTATCCATATCCTTCAACGGATTCGAGAAAACACCTGCGCAACCAAACGTGTTTTCAGAGCGCAGCAAAGCGGCCGGTGCCTGCACACACATTCAAAGCTCATGTTTGACGTATTCTCAATCCCAAAAGTCCGCGCATGCCAAACACGAATCAAGGTATGTGTTCACATCCAATCTGTAACAGTGTCACATATAGAAGTATGAATGTTCATGTCGATGGGTGTCCAATCAAATAGCTTTCATATTGAAACACGCTCACGCTCAGGCCTCCTTCTTTTTCACACTAGCGGACACGAAGTCAAGGGTGAGTAATTCTATTGATTGGGAGCTCGCGATTGCGAAGATGCCCCACTGAGCCCGCCATGTAGGACATCAAACACACTCTGCACGAATCAAATCGGTATGTGTCCACATCCAATCTGTAACATGTCCACATCGATGGTAATGGTTGAGATTTCACGCTTGCGAAGATGCCCCACTGAGCCCACCGTGAGGGACATCAAACACACTCTGCACCTCCGAGTTGCAATGACTCGGACGGTGGCAATTCACCCCCTGCTTCTGCCACCCATGCGCGGCGCGCATAATCAATGGAGATTCTCGCTGCCCCTTTTTCTTTGAAACTCCCCTTGAAAGGAAATTTGCGATTTGAAATTGACGCTGATTTTGAACTTCATAAATGATCGAATACGTATCTCCATGTCCGTAGGGACATTCTATAAATGAATCTCATTCAAAAGAAATACTCAATGAAATTTTTTCGAGCTGCAAAGCACTCAACGGGATCTTGATCGCACCAGGCGTCAAGCGGGGTTGACAGTACACGCTGCACGCACAAGTAAGATGGCACACCGCCAGTGTGAGGCACTTTGCCTCATGAGCACTCCGCTCTTCCCCCCAGGTTGGGTGGGTGGGAAACTGGGAAAATCAAACTTTTCTTGAGCTCACCTTCGAGCCCAAGACTGCTTTTCTCAAAGGGATTTTCAAACTGGCAAAACGCAAAACACAACATGTCTGTGCAAATGCAGATCAAGCTCGGCACTCAAAGGGCGCAATCACATAACATGCTCAAGCTCAGCGCTCACGAAGGTGCAATCGCGTGAAGTACAAACGCAACACAGTTGCAGTCGGTTCACTCTTTTTGTCGCTTGGGGCGATCCGTGATCTGGCGACCGCCCCCTTCAGCCCATTTTTGAAGAGTTGGCGGGGGTCACAAGGTCCTTCAGGTCACAACCCCCAATGGGGCAAGAAGGAGTAACCCTATGGCAGCCAGCACCAATCAACGACTGGAAGTCGGATCTGGAACGATCACCGGCAATGTTGCTGGGGCTGGCCCCACTCGCATGCACACAACTTTTCAGAAGCCTCAAAGGAGAGCAAGCTTTCTGACATGCTGGTTTGACGAAGTTCCACAGACACAAGCATCCTGCGCAGGGATGTTGTCAATGTAAAAAATGCACCGACTGCAAGCAACATATTGACGCCACACTTTGCGCGCAACGGACACTGCATAAGCTTCCATCGGACCGATCCAATGTTGCATCGACTCTGACCCCGGCATCACAAGCGCGTCCGGCATGGCACACCCGAAAAAGGAACGCAGTTGGCCGTGCAACATGATGACACCGCCTGTTGTGCGCAGGTCGCTCTCACTAGCACCGTCCGGGGGACCACATGTTCAGCAAATGCCACAAGTAACATGGCCGGGCACAGCACCGCGCAGTCTAGCAATGAACATGTCAAGAGAGCGCCGCACAACGTCGTCCAACTTCAACTCGGACCCAGCATGAGCCCTCGCTCACGAGCGGATATCGGCCATGAACAGCCGTCCTATAATGAAGACGGTTATGAAGCTCAAGTACCGTTTCCGGGTGATGACATCGGCATGAAGGAGATCTTCTGAGGGACACACGAGTTCCTGGCACGACCTGGTTTGTTTCGATCGAGCACACAAGTCCTTCTGCGAATCGTGGGCAATCAAACTCAACACTGAACATCGCTGCCGCAGGTTGAAACGGGGCAAGCTTCTCACTAGCGGACTAGCGAACCGAAACCCCAGAAGATTGCAAAGGGCAACCGTCCTCTCCATGGTGTTGCCGGGGACGACCGGGCGACATCCCTGGAAAGTCGTGGTAGAAGCTGCCCCACGGAACGAGGAGCTCGACGCCGATGCACCAAAGTAATCGGGCCAGCCGGTTGAAGTGAAGAACGGAAACTGAGCACCCCAAAGGCTGCGCCTTGGACTTAAACAAATCTGGCTCACGGGTCATGTGATTGAGGAGGGCGATGATGGCCCAAGCACGCCGAAAATTCAGGAGGTCCATTCAAAGCCTTGGCCCCGCGGGTGGTAGGTAGCCGGAAAGGGGACATAGCCAGGCTTGCCATGCCCTTTCCCAGTATCCCTTGTCTCGCCCGGCTCGTCCCGGTCTAGCTCCTGGAAGGTCCCTCTCTCTCTCAGTCGCGCAGAGCGTGTCCACAAGTGAAACCGCTCGTCAGCAGCCTTTCAATTGGACTATCGTGCGGGGAAAACATAGAGTCGGCGGAAACATACAGCATGGGGAACAAGTTCAGGGAAACTACATACGCAATCGACATGTCTACACAGGGCTCTTCGCAACCCTTTTCGGGTGAGACGATGGCAGGACTAGGGTAAGTTTTCCGGCCACCGTGGGGAAAAGCTTAGTCTGAAAGGACGTTTCTATAGTCGTTGATAAAGCTCACCCGACGCACAAGGGGAATTCGTGACCACTCGCCGATAAAAGATGGATCACCTGATAAGTCAGTTGACGTTGGCGTGGAGCATGGGAAGGCCGTGGTGCCCCGGTTCGCCTCATGTCGGCTCCCCTAGACAGCACTGTGGAATAATTCAAAGAGGCCGCTGCTAAGCTGGGGTCAATGTCATCCTGTGGGGAATTGTTGCGCAAGCTTTGACAGATCATATGTATGGTAATCCAGAAATGTGCCCCGTCGTAAGGTGTAGACATGCACTTGCAGACCTGACAGTCTGACGGGGTGTTCCAGAGGTTCACGGCTGCATCGTTGGGAGCCACCGGTCTCCCATGGTTGGCAAAACACGTAGGCAAAAGCGGCAGGGTCAAGTGGAACAGACTTGGAGAGGCTCACCACTCGCCTGGCCGAGGGTACTCAGTATGCCGCACATGCAAATGAGCTCGTCGAGAGCCAAGTTCACATTATTTCCGGCAAAGTCATCAACCGGCCTGCGGCCAGCAGACGTCGTCTGCTCAACCCCAAACCTACGTGTCGGCCGCTCGGCCGTCAGAGGTCCCTCAAGAATGCCATCCGCCACCTCGTCAAGAGTTTTGCTGGAGGATAGGTGAGGTGAGGTATCGACCGAGGCACGGGCCTGCCTAACAAAAAGGCTGCCCTTCCGGCGCACGGCCTAAAGAGCAAGCCCCAACAACACGACAAACAGGAACAGCAACAGGAAGCAGGAACGCGAAACGAACGAAGACAAACGGAGCTGATACCATCACAGCGAGCAGCTGTTGCTAACGAGGTGGATTCTGACAGGGGTCTTCAGGCCGCTTCGTCGCCATGGAAGGTTGACCCCTTGAGCATCATCGAAAGGCAGGGCATGCCACAGCTCAATGAGTTGATCGGACTAATGAAAGTGAGCAGCCATGTGATCGCTCAGCGCGGTTTGTCCTACGACATTCTCCGAATGAGTCTGTGTCGCCACACAAAGCCGCAAAAAACTGCTTTCTGTGAAGTCCGCACTGGACTAATCGGTCTGCTTCCTGTTGTTGAAGCTGAGTGAAAGTCACTTCCAAATCATGTACAGGGTTGCCCCGCCGCAGGAAATAGTCGTGAGCCGCCTGAATGAGCGGCGCCCACTCGCATCGGAGCCATGTGGCCAAGAAGCGGGAGATACACTGCTCGCGGCTCTGCGCAACCCGCAGGCTGCCAAAACCGGCTCCAGGCAGGCAATCCGCCGCAGCCCTGTCCATGTGCGGCTGGTGATATTCGGCGGCATGTACAGCTGCTGAGCAAATGGGAAGGCGCTGTACGATACGATCCACAGCCATTGACAGTCTGGGCAAAGTTGGACGGCTTCCTCGGCTTGCAGCCTATATGCTGCATGTGCGCCTCGGTTCCACCCGCCACCGCCTCGAAGGGCTCAAGCGACTGCAAGGTCAAACACCCAGCACCAGGCTCCTGTCCTGCCTTGCTTGCTGCCCTGAATCTCTTTTTTTTTTGGGCCAAAAGAGATTGGCAGACAAACGTCACGTACGAAGGTGCCTCTGCACGCACGCAACCTCTGGCGTACACACTCACATCGAAAGCGCTCTTGCGCATGTTTTCGCTCGAGGTCCCGAGCGCTGTCTCTGCACGCAGGCGTCCCGACCTGAGCGCCGCAACACACAACGATGTCAATACACAGCTGACTCGATGCTCAGACGAAAATGTACTTTCATAGCCGACATCAGTGCAGCATAAGTCAGTAGGCAGAAGTACCTAAGCCTGACGGTCACATATCAGCGCGTAGGCCGAGCAACTCGGGAAAAAGCGCCCTCAACCAGGCGGTCGCCGTGCCGCTCGGGCAGCACACTCATGAACATATGTAAAATGACAGCTGCATCTAAGTTGGGCCCGCACCAGCATTTTAGCGGCGGCCTTGGGATTTCCACGAGCCCGCCTAGCATGGTGCATGACTGCCTCAGTGTGATCCTCCACCGTATAAGTACCTGCAGACTGCGAATCGATGTCAAGCAAGTCCTCAGTAGCAATATCACCATCAAGGGGTAGCCTGAGCTCCCCCGACGAAGCCGTAGCCGACACTGTTGGCTGTCGAGCCCCCACCTCCTGTAGGACTTCCGTCCTGGCCTCGATGGCCGAACTGTCCGAATCAGGCGCGGGACTCACCCGCCGGGCCTTATGCCTCTTACGAGAGGTCTTCCCGGCCTTCCTTGTCTTCTTCTTCTTACGCTTCTTCACGGACGGGAGGGGAGGCTCCGGTTGTTGTGGCTCGAAAGCTGAGCTCCACGACGACCAAGAACGGTCATCGGCCTCATCCGTCCCTACAGCATCCGCCATTTCAAACCAATGCCTGAGAAGCAAACGGCTACAAACACGTGCAACATCTTGACGACCTCCGGCACTCTCTTGCAATCCAACAGCAGCAACACAATCAGCATGTCACTGTAGTCAAACAAACACTCAACTCAGACTTTTAGGCGGTGCGAACGAATCTCACAGGTGACAACGTGTTGGCCACTAGCACTGGAGCTGAAAAACTCAGGTGCCTGCCATCCTGGACCAATTGAAAAGAGCTCAATTTTAGGGAAGCGACCAACAAGCTCGAAAAGACGTTGTGACACTAAGTACTTCGCCTGATCGATAATATCTCTGCAACTCAGCTGAATATCGAGCGTGATGGTCATATATCTGGTTAGGCGGTCAGTAACGACCACCTGCATCCTGAAGATATATCCCGGAGGCGTATCCCAGGGCAAGTTTGCCTCGCCCGCCTTTCTCTTCCTCTGAGCAAGAAACAGGCCATGCAAAGTCTCACTACGGGAGCTGAGGTTCCAGCAATCCTCGAGGAACATGCTCCGGATCAGAATTGCGGCCAGCCCGAAACTTCCAATGAAGAAAACAAGAAACGAGCATCTGCTGAGACTCCAACCGCGACACGCGATCGAAAAGGCGGTCAGCAAGCATGAGCTGCATTCTATGCAGCCGACTGATCTGGATCTGTAACCCACGCATGTGGTGTAACACAAAGCTCTCAGTGGATGTAAACGAATCCGAGGGTGTCGGCGCCTCTGCTTCTCCGCCGGTCACTTCAGGTGATTGCATACTCCTGAAACACAGGCCAGTACTTCGGTCACACACCGAAAAAGCAACAAAGCTCCAGCTAAGTAGGCAACCGCGAGATCACTCTGCAAGTTGAGCAGGATACTGTAAGCTCAAAGCTCAAGACACACTCAAGCAGAAGATTCACTTCATCAAGACCTCCCAGCGAGAGACTAAGGCACAAGCATCCGGCCCGCCCCCCTATTTCAAATAAAACTCTCGCCCGATTCAGGGCTTCCTGCCCCTTCGAGAGGTCAAGCTGCAACGGACGAATGTATTCTTCAACTGGTTTACAGCATGTATAAATGAGTTCAATAAAATGGGCAGTGTAAAAGGAAAGCCCTAAAACAACAAATCAAAATTGAACTTAGTTCTCTAAGTCATTTTGTCATGTTGTTTCACTCCCACGCGGCAGAGCACACACAGTCGTCTGTGAGACTTGCCTGGCGTCGGCCGAAGCCCCGCAGCTTGCTGCAAAGCAGGCTTAAGCTGCACTATCCGACTGAAAGAATCAGTCAAAAGGAGGAAGCTGCCCGTCCCCTACACGGCGCAGCTAAACTTCAAGAAGAGGCATTGTACCCCCTTGCTAAGAAAAAGCGTGACTGGGAGGAGAACCCTCAACCAGAAACAGGGAGGAGAGCCCTCAACCTGTTAGACTAAGAACTGCCCCCGCGAAGGCAGTAAGAGAGGAGGAGCCCTCATCGAACCAGCATTCTCACAAGTGCAAGCGAGGGTGGAACCTCAGCTTACCTGACTGCGGACGCAGACTGGAGAGTGCACAAGAATAGGTACGAGTTGGACTGAACCACTTGGAGTATCTGAGGGTCTGTCCTTCGCGCCTCCGTGTTGTCATCAGTGACAAAAAGACACCCCTGATGGAGGAGGCATGTGCGATAGTGACCGGCATATGGTGTGCGGCCTTCATGAAAAGCTATTGCATTGACTTGGTATCGCACATATTTGATCCGTAACGTGCTCTCATCCTCCCAGATGGGCACCTGCAGTGACGGCTCATCGAATCTGATTGGCATTGCGAGTTTGCGCACCGCACCAGTGCGTTCATTGAACACATATCGTTTCAGCTGAAAGCAGAGAAGTGGCGCTGCTGAGGCGAGCGCACAACCACATCGTTGACCCCGAAAGAATTGTTCAACACAATCCTGAAAAGTGCTCAGCTGTTCCTCTGCACGAGATGCAGGAATGTGGAGGGGGATCGGTGTTTGGAGCGTGCCTTCATCCAGCACATGAAGCGCTGGGCCCCTGATATCCCTTGCCTCCCAGCACGCCTGGCCGAAGGGCATACAGCAGAATGACACAAAATGTGAGAAGAACTCTGCAATGTCATGCTGCCTAAGGGGGTGCGCCCACCATCGCATCATGTCCTGAATAATGGGCAGATCTCGAAGCACAACAGGCCGAGTAGTGGTAAGCAGGGCCTGCAGTCTAGTCCCAAGCGCCCCCAGCATTCCATGTGGCATGCCCTCCTGCGCCCACACGTGCAGGAGAATCAGAAAGGTGGAGTTAACGTAACATGAGTTGGTCGCACTCGGGTTCCTGAGCCTGAGCCGTAGCGCCACGTCAGGTTGCGGACCTCCTCTGCTTCGCGGCCGTGCTTCTGCCTCTCCTTGTGCATGTTGGCGGCTATGAGCTGTAAGACTGCTAGCCCAGCCAGCTTCGCAAGGGCATCGTACAGGATCTGGCACTGTGGACTCCGAAGGCCCACCGTCACCTTGAACGCCACAGAGGCGCCGCTCATGCTCTCCGTCAGTCTCCGCTTGGCCGTGAACTGGTTCAGAGCCTCGGGGTCCTCCTTCAAGGCTGCAATCATTGTGTCCAGCAGAGTCTTGACATCCTGATGCTGCATACCCTTTCGGCTCTTGTCGAGGACAAGGAGATGTGCTTCCGGATCCCATTTCTGGTAGAGCCAGGTCAGCGGCTGGTTGGTCACCCACTTGGCCTTCTCCGCCCCCGCAATGCTTTCCGGCGTCTGCTCGAACTTCATCATCCGTGCCGCGGTTTCTTTGATCATCAGGCTGAAGAGCTCGGACTTCAGGCTGCAGTCGACCTTCATCTGATCTCGGAGCTCGTTCCATTTCAGCGAGGCCTGGATCAGTGGCTTGAGGATGCCGTGGGGCCCAGCGCTGACGTGGAGCATGAAGGACTTCTCCTGCCGAAGCTCGCTGAGTTCCGTCTCCTGTCTCAGGCACAGCTTTGCCATGGCATAGATCGCGGCCTCGACATTCAGGCCCTGCGCACTGGGCCACGAAGGAGTGTCCCAAGTGGATGCTGTCCACTGTGGCCACTTGCCCTTGCCCTTTCCTTGGCCATTCCCCGAGAGGCAGGAGAGGTCCTCAATCCACAGATGGCCACCCGAGAAGGCGCCCAGCGAGAGTGACAAATTGCGTGAGCCAGGAATGTTCGCTGAATCGGAATGCAGCGCACTGAGGCCATTGCGCGAGACACACAAAGCGTTCCAGTGCTCGTTTGGAAAGAGAAACCTGAAGAGGGCATTCAGGTCCCTGCAAAGCTCAGGCAGGGCGGCGGTAACCTGAGTGAGTGAAGAGCGCTTAGAAAGCTGAACCCCGAAATTAAAATAGCCTGAAGCAGAAGAGGCACCGGAAATGATGTGAGCGCGGCGAACCTGTTGGGGCCAAGGGGCTTCCCGCAGTGAGCACAAAATGCAATCGAATAGGCCTGCCAAGGCCGGCCCACAGAAATTGGAAAATTCAAGTGCGCGACCCAAAGGGCGGTCCGCTGGCGGGCGGAATCGGCGCAATGGGAGTGCTTGAAGTGCATGTGGAGGGGGCAACGTCCCCCGAAGGCACTGAAACAGTATGATGCACGGAGGGTACGGCCTCCTGAGGCGGTGACACAGAAACTGTACTATCGGCAGAGAGGGGTTGTGGCGGCAGTGGCGGAAAGCTGAAGTCCAAAACTTGCGAGCCCCGGGGGGCTTGCTGTTGCGATGGTGGAATCGGCGGTGGCAGTGGCGGGGGAGCAGGCAGCTCCCCCCAGCTGTGGATGGACCCGGCAGCACCTTTGGGTGGCGAGTCGGGCGCATGATGTCACTTCTCAGGGTGCTGAGGCGCACCGTGGTCCTTGCTAAGGCAGGGTGAACCATCGGGCTTAGGGAAAGCGCAGCCGTGCGTGAACTCGCAGGAATTGCCACGCTGGCATTTCCCGATCTGCCACCCAATGCACAATTTTTTCACCTGGCCGCCCTCCTTGTACTCGCGAACCCACGGAACGCCCCTAGGCTGGGTGCCTTGCTTGGTGGGGCTCTTGGTTTTCCCCTTGCCCTTGCCAGTGCCACGACCTGGCGGTGGGGTGGGCGCGCGGTTGTCACGGCCGCCCGGTGTATACGGCCTACGATTGCCTGCAGAGGCAGCTTTGGCGCGGGGCTGCAACCATGACGACATATCGCCGCGGATCTCCGTGAACTCGTAGATCGCATCGTTCACCTGCCACTCTTTCTCGATCACAAGCTGAAAGATGCACGACCACAAGTGTTTGTCCGCCTGCTGAGCTTCCAGCACAGAGGGGGGCCGAAGGTTTGTTTCAGGCGGGAATTTTTGCGAAACCAGGCTCAAAAACTTAGAAGTGTAAGCTTTGAGGCGCGCAAGATGCGCGGTGCCTGCAAGAGCGAGGGCATTGTCATGCACCTCCAACAGCCTACGGATCATCGAAATCCCCATGGTGGAATCATTGATATCAATCTGTGGCGGTTCATCAAGCAACAGGTCCGAAAGCTGAAGGGTCTCAATCCTGGCCCTTTTTGCGGGCTTCTGCATGAGGGAATCCTCATACATCTGTTGTGTCATGCGACTCTTCCACGGGAGATTTCGGATGGGAAGGCTTCCAAGAAACGCTTTTTGAGCGTGGCCACACGCGATGCATCAAGCTTGGGGGCGAAGGCTTCAGACCATCCCGAGCCTTGCTTGGCCGGGGATCCCAGCGGTTCTGCAGGAGCAGGCTCAGTACTACCGCGTCGCTGCAGCGACGACCATACGGCTCGTAGCTTGGCACGCTGCATCAAGGACACTTCAGTGTCCGGGAACATCTCAGGGAGGACCCCCGCAAGCTCAGATTCCTGGCAGACGACATGGCGAAAAGATTTCGCATCCCAACCGTCGGCGAGCAGCCGATCCGTGAGCTCCTGGCTGATGCCGTGATCCTGAAGGAGCTGATGGAAGCTTGAGGCTCCCTCTGCTTTAAGCTGGCACTGTGAAGGATTCACCAGATTGAATGATCCATCCACGGATTTATCATCGAACATTGCATCTGCCATGGTGCGAGAGCAGCGGTAGGCAAAACTACCATTCGGGCCTGAAGCGGCTGATCGAGAGCAGACCCGTGTCCTGGCAGGCTCAATGCAAAGAATATGGAATGCATGAAGAAACATGTGCAAGCAGAATGCGAGCGCATACCGATAAAAGACAAAGGCAGCAACATGCACTTTTACTAAGCTTCCAGAGCAGCGAATGCATTGACACAGGCATTTCGCCTGCAGAGAACATGTTTGGCACTAACAGAGTGGACCGACTGCCAACGTGGGCCCGACATACCGATGCCACAAAGTGTCCTCTCACCTGACGGGCATGCTGCGTGCACAACGCCTGTTGCGGCGACCATGTGCACCTCATCTGGGGGGCCGAGCGACGCGGGCCCTGCCTCGGACTCAAGACTTGACTCAGACCCAGCCTCCGATGCGGAGTCGGGCAAGGAGGGCTCGGCAGCCTTGGTGCTGGCCTCTGCAACAGGTATTTCCTCATGTGCTATGAAGATTGACCGGGAACCCAGGGCAGCGAGCCAGGGACACCAACATCGAAGGAGAAGAAACCCCACGGTGCAGGATCGATCTCTTTGCTGAAGGCTTCCAAAGCAAAAGGGATCGGTGCCATAGGGAGCTGTGCTCCACGGTGCAACGGTGTCCTCGGGCGAAAATCCGCCAAGACAGCAGACCTCAATTGTGTCTGAGCGCGGAGCGCACCTAGCACATCATCTCTGCTGTAGAGTTCCCTGCAACTCCCCCTACGATGTCCTTGTGCGTCCCTGTCTGGGCCGCGGATGTCCGGCACCTCAAGCATATAACTTAAGAGGCTACACTTCATGGAGTGCACCGTATAGTTGGATACGGGCACCGAGGGGGGAGACACCATCCAAGGAAACTGCAAGTAATAGCGCAACCAGCGCAAGCATGAAGGGTAACTCATCGGCTCAAGGGGCCGGAGCAACTCGGCGTCATCGTCCAGTGCCGGAAACAGAAAGCTAGGAGCCACCCCAAAGTCGCGCACCTCCTGCGAAGCGATGGAATCAAGAACCCGGAGCCACCTAGCCACCCAGGAATGTGTGCCATGATGCAAGAAGCCTTGAGTGATTAGGCCGAAGGGTTGGCCCTGATGCGAGGTTTTCGTCTGGTATGCAATGGCCCGAAGCGAAACCACGTCGAAAGCAAATGAGCTCCATTCGATGCGCTGGCTGTCAGCAAAGCGAAGACTCGCCCAACATGTGACGAGAAAAGCACCGAGCAGTACTATGTCCCTCACTGGGGTGGAGCGCTGGAGGATGCGCCGTTCCCACTGCACAAGAGCATACAGCGGCAGGGGTAGGCTCTCCCTGCGGTCCTTAGGCAATTTGGTCTTCAAGAAGGATGAAATCAGCTCGCCATAGAAAACCTCAAACACAATGCATTGGGTGTTCTTGCAAACCCACCGCACGGCCTTGATGCAAGTGATTGCCGACGATCCGACAGTCGGATCCTCCTGTCTTTGAAGCTGCAAAGTGACCAAGATGTCGGCCGCTTGCACAGCAGTAATCTCAAGAAGACACACATCCAAGTCCTCACAAGCCTTAGCAAAGGAGTTAAAGGTAGTGATGTACCTGATAACAGTCGTTGCGGCAAAACCTGCAAGTACACGGCGCACGTGTGCATCGAAATGCACTGCTGATTGGATGGCGGAGAAAAAGCTAGATTCAGACCCCAAGAAGGCAAGAAGCTGCAGCATGAGGTTCACAGCAATCTGAGAGCAGGCCGCTGAGTGTGCACGAATGGCCTGCATCCCGCGACCATCCTGCTTGCTGGCGCGCGGGCGCTTGTTCGATAGCGACACCACCATTCCTTGCGGATTGGGCAATGGAGGTGCAGCCTGAAGCTCAGGCAAGGCTTGAAACGGCGGTGTGAAAGGGGCTGCGCGGGCCGGCAGTGCCGGGGGCCTCAAATGCACGTGCCGATTCACAGGTGGGCAGGGAATGCCCGACTCGGGGAGGGGCGGTGCGGACCTAAACCGAAGATACCCGAAGGAGGGAGGGGGACTAGGCCTAGAGCCAACCCCAGGCAGTCTACGATCAGAATATGGGCCACCACGCGGCCCGCCCAAGCGAGACCTGTCATCAGGGTCAGTGGGCCTGGAGGACATCTCGCCAGCAAAGCCCCTTAATCCAAGGAATCCAGAAAGCTCGACCCGTCCGGGCAGCACGGCCCGTCAGTGCAGTCCGGTTCACCTTCAAGCCGAGTAAGGCGCTGTTGCAAAATCAGAAACTGGTTCTGCAGCCTAAATTGATTCTCAAGCAGAAGGTCAGCACGCTCGTGCAGAGCAGTCAAAGCTTCAAGGGTGTCGTCCCTGAAAGATTGCAGTGCTTCGATGAAGTCAGATCTCGCACTATCGACGTCTTTTTTGGCTTCCACAGAAGCACCACGAACCAAGCTGAGCAGCGAGCACTCAAAGTACTGACGGAACTCTTCAAGCTCAGCACGGGACACCATACAAGAATGACAGCTCACTCAAGAGAGGCAAGAGGTGCCTGCCATGCACCCCCCCTTGTAGGGGGCGATCGCACTACCCAGGCCACGAGGAGCTAGAAGCCTTGGAGTTAGCCCCCGGAGCCTGCTAGACAGCACTACAGGACTCTAGAGAGGCCCAAAATCAAAATTGCGAAGCGACTTCGCTGCAACTTGATCCAAAGCGGAGTGCGGATGCACAGAGCTTCCACGACATGTACTGAGGCAAGAAGATGCAGGCACTGGCAAAAGCGAATAAAGGAAAACTTTCCAGTTTTACCAAAAGAAAGGAAACCGTTTTTCCATTTGCAAAACACCAGTGGACAAGTCCACAAGTACAGGCCTTTGCCCTTGCCCTTGCCTCGAGGCTCGATCTCCGGGTCCGGCTTGGGCCGCTTTAGCGGGTTGCTTCCCCCTAAGTCTGCTGCGGACAGTTGCTCTCGAATTGCTGGAAACAGCGGCCCTAGGATCTCTTCCATGTTCCGAGCTGGGCTCCGGCGGCGGTGCACAGTGAAGTCGCTGCAGCAGGCAGAACTGGTAGAGTACCGGGCAGAACGGGGCGTGATCCCTAGCGATACGGGACGTTTTGTTGCAATACGGACAAGTTTTGTCAGCGGTGGTGAGGAGAGCCTTACAATCACGACTTAAAGAGTCCGTATCTAGCCACGTCTGGGGATGAGCCTTATAGAGGTGCTTTTTGAGGGATCGGAGGTCGGGCTGGGTCTGAGCACAAAAGCAGCAATGCCTCAGGAGAAATTCGCTCTGTTCAGGTGTGGGTCTCGATTGCACGGGCACAGCAATGGCAACAGGCACTTTATCGCCATTCTGTAGCACGAGATGTTGCTGTTCCCGGGCCGGGGCTCCAGGGCTCGGCTGGCGAAGGATGCGCAGGAACACGAGCTGAAACAAGACCTGACAGTTTTGTGCATGTGCACGAGCAGCTCTCTTATCCGCAAACTTGGGCGCCAGGCAAAAGGGACATCCAGTGCTGCTGGTAACAAAACTGGCGTAATTCAGACAATTGTGCTCGGCGGCTTTCCCTGCCTGCTCCCATTCCTTCGCGTGCGAGCCGCGCAGGTGGATCTTAGTACCTCCTCGGGCCGGCGTCCACTGTCTGCATAAGCAACAATGGTGCAGAAGCTCTTCCTGCAGATGTGGGCACTGTTGCATAGCATCCCAGGGCTCATGCTGTTCAAGCGTGCGCATAACCTGCGGTTCGCGGGCGGCAGGCTGTCGGGGTGGCGCAGTAGGTTCCGTGATGCCGGCGTCGGGCAGTGCCGACAGAGGTAGCGGTACCAGGTAGCGCCGCTGAGCTAGATGCCAGGCGGTGCGTATCATCGCTTGCCTTGGACATGTGTGGCAGGTCAGGGCACTCAGAGCTGACTCTCTGTGGTTGGACAGCAAGCGCCGGAGGCAGCGACTGAGGATTGTCACCAGTTTCGGCTTGGGACGAGTTGTCTGGGCCAGCTGCAGTATCAACGTCTGCTGGCACCTGACACGACTTGTGTTGACACACATTGTCGTGAATGTGCCGCTGCAGTTGCTGCCAGGAGCTAAATTGCTTGCTACACCACCGGCAGGTGGGGAGCCCTTCAGTTCCATTCTCAAATCGGTCCACCTCTTTCCAGGAGAGGTAATGCGAGGGCTGCAGTCCAGCCTGATGCACGTTGTTACGGTGTTTGGTGAGGGCAGTCTTGCTCCTTGCCTTGTAGTCGCATTGTGGACACGGGAATTCACTGGGTGCCTGCTGGGGCAGGTCGGTGGTCCTATCAGTAACAATTTGCTGTAGCTGGACAACCAATCGGGCCTCACAGGCTAAGATGTCATCACTGAGACGCGCGTCAGGAGTCGAGAGAGTGACCTGTAGTGTAGCCGTTTGCTCTTTTTGTTTATGTGCTCTCTTGGCGACACTGTGGATCGGGTCGCATAGACGATGTTCCTGGCACAGCTGTTGGTTGCTTTTGCCTGTGAGATGCACTGGCTGTCGAGTGATGTGTCTGAGTTGCCTGTAGAAGATCACGGAGACTCGCTGGGCAGCGCTGGGTGTCAATCCCACTTGCGGTAGCGAATAGAGGAGACTGCTGACCACGCACGCCTGCCAAATCTGAAGACGCATGAAAAGCGGGAGACCTTTGTGGGTGAGCACTGGCTTGAGACGATCAAAGGAAGTCTGAGCCGCCTGGATACGTCTGGTAGCTGTAAGATCCTCCATGCGACTGTAGCTGAGAGTGGCACCGAGGTAGTCGTGCTTAGAAACGAGTGGCAGCCGCCACACATGATCCTCGTGCTGAAAGGTGATGCGCGGCTTTTTGTTATGGGTGCTTACAAGTTTGGCACGGACTCGTTGGGCGGCAGTGCCGCCAAGATGTAGCAGAACCGCACACTTGGTTGAGGCAATAGAGAGGCCCAGTTTTTGCAGCACCCACAAGGCCTTGGAGATCGCCTTAAGCTGCTGTTGCAGCTCATTCTCGGAGTGAACCAATGCCTGAAACAGCGTGTCATCCGCAAACCATGTGCTATGGCGCTGGCTCCACTCCGGCCCCATCTCACTCATGATGAGTATGGTAAAGAGTGACCACACTCGGGGAGAGATCGCACAACCCTGACGAATCCCTCTATTGCAGTTGATCTGGGCTCGGCACTGTTCGTGCTCAATGTGATATATAATTTCGTGATGCATGTTCTCAATCAGGCGACACACCTCCGGTGGCAGGCAACTCATTTCAAGAGCCTGATGCATGAACTCAGGTTCCAGGGAGTCAAAAGCTTTACTGAGGTCGAGAGAAACCGTGATGGCTCCTGTCAGCTGCTGCCTGCGTTGGCCTGCATGTCGCTGCTGCAGGGTAAGACGTTGTTGTGCCACGACCTCCCGAGCTTGGTGGAGATGCTGAAAAGCACGCATAAGGGCCTGAGGGACACCACGCCGGGGCAGGTACGCAAATTGCGGATACTGCGCCACGGAGTTGTAGACTGCGTGTTGGTGTTGTTGGTACACGGCGCCAAGAACAGCCTTGCCAACCGGATCAGTGAGCCCGATCGGGCGGTACTCCTCAGCCTTGTGTCCCGTTTTTCCCGCCTTCAGGATCAGGCAAAGCCACGCATGTCGCCACTCTGAAAAATCCAAAAGTGATCATGACGCCAGTCATGAAGGATGGTGCGTTCTGCGAGTGCAGAGACTGATGCAGCAGCGGATTTCCAGGCCAAGCCCGGGGCGTAGTGGCTCGGCAGGGCTTTGTGTTGTGACAGTGAAGCAAGGGCAGTACGAAGCAAGGCCTCGGGCAGGTGGTACTGATGGAGCGGGTCCGGGGTCCTGGGATGGCGACTGTGATAGATCTGCTGCCAGTATTCTCGCAGGGTCTGAGTTTCCTGCTCGGGTGTCATAATGCAGCCGCCGCCGTCACGGAGCTGTGGTTGTCGGCGAACAACTTTGGGCGCTATCTTGTTAACCTGCAGGTGTATTTCTCTGATGTCTCCACGTTGCGCGGCCTGTGTAGCTCGGCTAACACACTCGTCGATGAATGCTTGCCTCTTGACCTTGCTCGCTGAGCGGATCTGTTTTTGGAGCGCAGTGAACTCCCGCTGGAGGGCCAAACGCTGCACATCAGCCTCCGCCGTGGGATCCTGCTTCAGAGTTTTTATAGCCGGTGACACTGCCATAGGCGCTTGACAGGAGCGTCATTACCATTATTGGGGTGCAGCGCACCCACCTGCTCTGTACCGGGAACTAGCCTGGTTTGCAGCTCTTCCTGCAGGATTTGATTGGTGAGGGTGGTGTCCCATTGGGTCAAACGCGTCAAGCGTGCGTGCACAGCCGCTTGGAACTCCTCAACATCCCCTAACAGTAGCTTCCCCTGCTTGACTTGTGCGTTGATGTGTCTCATGTTGTTTTTCTTTGAACAATAAAGCTCTATCTTCTGCAAGTGTTCAAAGAACGAAACTAGTTCCCCCTAGGACTCCTGTCTTAGTGGCTCGCCTATAGGACTATAGGAGCATGGCTGCTCAGCATGGCGCCGCGTGGATCTCCGCGGCCGTCCGTGCTGCTTGCCAAGCGAAGGCTCCTCGTCGAACTGTCGCCTCCGTGGCCGCGGCTGTCACTGCGACTTTGTTGCAGGAGACAGCCAAGGCTGCGCGGGTACAGGGCGATGTGGAGACAGCTGGCACCGCGGATGCTGCACCAAGTGGCAACTGCGAGGACCTGGCCCGACAGCTGCGGGAGGCTCGGGCTTTGAAGAGGCGCGCAAAGCGCCAGAGGCGGACTGCGGCAGAATCCCCACCGCCCGCTGCTGAGACGGAGGAGAGGCCAGGTGAAGGGGCTGGGGAAGCCGCCGTCCCTTTGCCAAACCCGCCGAGAGAGCCGGAGACAGACCAGAGACGGACTCTGACCGCTGATGCGATCCAGGACCATGATGCGCGGACTTCCCCGCAGTCTCTTACTGACCAAGGGGTTCACTTCCTGCCAGAGGAGCTCGACGTTCCCGCACCGCCAAGTTCTTTGCGGAGTTCAGCACCTACACGTTACCGGCTATATAGAGCGAGCTACTACGCCGAACCACCGGGCCACACGGGCGGCGCCGAAGTCGTTTTTGTCGCAGCCAGTGCCAAGTTCACCGAAGAGACGGAGACCGAGGAGGGCTCAGCAGTCCGGGGTGGTGGCCGCAACCCTGCCCCTGCCTCCTAAAGTTGCTTGGGCACGCGGGACTTTGCCCTCCCCGCGTGCAGCTTTTCCTGGGCCGGGCAGCTGAAGTTCGAGGGAACCCAGTTGCCGCACACGTCACATGGGATGAAGTCCAATCTGTTCTACACACTGCGGCTGCGGGCCATCTCATGGGGACATTTTGGTTTCTCCTACAGATTTCTTTCTTGAGCGCGTCTAAACTACCAACCTTCGGGTACGGAGCAGGTTGACGTTGACAAGAAGTTCAAGTTCAAGTTCCACCGCCTCGGAAGTGGATGGTGACGAGCAGGAAGGGCCATCCAACCTTCCGCACCACGAGCATGATTGCGGTTGCGCCGTGCCTGCTGGCTGCGCCGCTCGACAAAGCGCTACGACAGGGCATCTGCAGAGATGCTGCAACGCCTGTCTGTAGACGGCCCAAGAGGCCTGGCTAGCACCCCAAGAAAGGATTGCGCCGCTGCGCATCGGTACTATCGGTACCCCATGCAACTCTATATCTCTGCCAGCCGGTCGTTAGATTGGTTGGTGAATAGTAGACTACGGAGCCGGTTGACCGCTGGGTTACCGTCGGCCGCCAGCCATCTCAGCTCCCACAGGACTGAACTGCCCTCTGATTTGCGAAGCCAGGTGCGTGGTCAGGACGCGGGGCAGCGGGCCTGCTGGGAGTGCCGCCGCAGGAAGCGACCCAACTCCTGCGGCATGATGCCACGATAAGCTAGATCGTGCCCTAGTCCCGAGCTGGCGACGGCTCGACTGCTGGACTCGTCGTCATGTCCAAAATCCTTGATCTCGGTGCTGAGCGGACTCCATGCTGACAAGATCGGCCATCGTTGCGCTGTATCTTCTGCTGCCACTTTCCGAGTAAAGATGACTGATTTGCTGCCTGGATGAGCACGGGACAGGCGACAACCGGTCCAAGCGCCCTCCCTAAATCATAACCGGTTGACCATGGCAGGGGCTCCATAGCCGGGCATGCCATTATAATGTGTGGGTGTGCCAGGGCGCAACCGGCACAAAGGGCATGTTCTGAATGGGCGCCCGGAGAGCAGGGCCCAACTCTGCGCGAGTCGATTCACTTACTCTGTGACTTACTCTGTGACTTACTCTCTGACTTACTCTCTGACTTACTCTCTGACTTACTCTCTGACGTACTCTCTACCTCTCTATTACTCTCTGACTTACTCTTTGACTTACTCTCTACCTCTCTACATACTCTCTACATCTCGGTATCTAATCTCTCTTCTAAAGCCAGGGGTGGCACCGTCGTCGTCCATCGGGAATGCAACCCTTCACAGGGATTGGCCACCTCGAGCGCCCAAACGCTAGGTAAAGTTACACATTTTAGGCGCGCGGGTGAACCCTTCACAGGGACTGGCCACCTCGAGCGCCCAAACGCTAGGTAAAGTTACACATTTTGCGGTGCCCGCGCAACCCTTCCCAGGGATTGGCATGGGCGAGCGTCCAAACGCTCGGTAAAGTTACACATTTTTTAACTTAATGCGGTGCCCGTGCAACCCTTCACAGGGATTGGCCACCTCGAGCGCCCAAACGCTAGGTAAAGTTACACATTTTAAGCGCCCGGGTGAACCCTTCACAGGGATTGGCCACCTCGGGCGTTCAAACGCGAGGTAAAGTTACACATTTTTCGGGCGCCGCGCAACCCTTCACAGGGATTCGCCTCCTCGGGCGTTCAAACGCGATGTAAAGTTACACATTTTTCGGGCGCCGCGCAACCCTTCACAGGGATTCGCCTCCTCGGGCGTTCAAACGCGAGGTAAAGTTACACGTTTTTTTAACTTAATAGGCGCGCCGCGCAACCCTTCACAGGGATTGGCATGGTCGAGTGCACGAACTTGCAACCCTTCACAGGGATTGGCATGATCGAGTGCGCGAACGCGAAGCAAAGTTGCTACTTTGAAGCGCTTTT